AGGAAGGAGGAGACAAGACGGAGGAATATGATGACACAGGGAGAAGGGTTTACGCCATGATTAGCAATGCTGAACCTGGCTCCATCTTGGGCCATTTTGAATGTTGGGCCATAGTGTGCCTTAGGTCTGCCCATATGGGATACCGAGCAATACTGCGACGCGTGTCCGAACTGCGCGCCATAGGCCCACAGCCATTAAACGCGCGACGACTCGTGGATTATGCCCCTGGCCCCGTGGGGGCCATGCGATTTACTTCTTGTGTCTGCACGAGTTTCAGGAATGAATATCTGGAAGCCTTGTTGTCCAGGCCGTCGGTTTGTTGTCGGAGGGTTGCTCATTGCTCGGTTCTCTGCCATGTGGGTGGGCGTCAACACTACGTGCCCTGTTGGTCTCACGGGCAAGGGCCGGTCGAGGCGGAACCGCCTCGTCAAGTTCTCGGTTCTTGAGCGCTTGACATCGAAATCTTTAAGGAAGAGGGTCAATATGCTGAGGACCGAAGTGGCCCTCGACGAAAAAAGTGCGGAGGCTCGACGAGTCGGGCTCATGGGTAAGCAAGATGAGCCTCACGTGGGTGTGCCAGAGATCGATTGAGTACGGCAACAGATTGTAGCTTGCGCTGTGGGACCTCATCCTCAGTCCCCCTCATCAGCCTCACTCCTCAGCGAGAGCCTCCCTCATCGGCCTCACTTCTCAGCGAGAGCTTCCACAGTTACCTCGCCTCGGTCTAGAAGTGCTAGAGCTAACGTTAAGCCGCTGCAGGGGGCAGCGTTGGGTGGCGCGCCAGTGGCGCCAGATGGGTTCCGATGCCTCGCCGAATACACGGCTGTCTGCTCCTCCTCCTTCCTTCCCACGCGCGTTCTGGGGATTTCTTCTTAACAATCCTGTGTTGGGCCCTCGTTTTGACGAGACAGTGCCCCGCGTCATATTGAGCAATTGTGGTGGAGGAGTGGGGGAGGGGGGCTGGGGGAGGGATGAGGTTGGAGGGAGGATGGAGGAGGGAGGATGATGAGACGGATGAGCGTGGAGGGCCCCCCGGGGCGGCAGCAGCAGGGAGGCCTGCAGGCGCAGGCATCAGGTCCGCGCCGAACTCCAGCAGCGAGGCGGCGCCTCTCCGGCGCAACGACGCCGACGACGACAACGACCACGACGACGACCAGCGGTCCAGTCTCTCGGGCGACGACGACGACGACGACTACGGACGACGCCGACGACGACGCCGGACAACTACGGACGACGCCGACGACGACGACGACGACGACCAGTGCGTTCTGACCCTTCTGGGGCGCGTTCTGACCCTTCTGGGGCGCCTGGATGTCCTGGGGTGCTCGCTGACCTTCCGACCAGAATATCGACGCGAATCAAGCCGTGGCGACGAAGAAGGCTCTCCAGGCCGACGAATCAAGCCGTGGCGACGACGGCGGCCCTTCCCGCAGCAATTTAGGCTCAAGCTTTAGCTTTCGAGCCCCCGCCACCGCGGCCATCGCCGTGGGCTGCGAGCTCGATGATGGGCTCGCGATGTCGCTCGCGATCGCCATCGCGGTCTTCCTCTTCGGACTCGTGGGCCGATTTTCCACCACCACCGCCACCGTGGGTAGCTCCTCTTTCTCCTCCTCCTCCTCCTTCTTCTTCCTCCTCTGCCTCCTCTTCCTCTTCCTGGCTCCTCCTCCTCCTCCTCCTCGTCTTCATCCTCCTCCTCTCCCTCGGCCCTCGGAGGAGGAGGAGCTACCTATGGTAGTGGTGGTGGAAAAACAGCCCATCAAGGGCGCGTCGCACGACGCCACGAAGATCTCCCTCTCGAGGTTTTTGACTGCCCAGAAGGAGGGTCATCCCAAGGACGAGAATGCCTGCTCGGACGTGGTGACGCTGGGCGGCTCGGACGACGTGGCCAGGCTGGAGTCGTTGCATTTTGATCTCGCCATGCTGGACTTGAATAAGGACAAGGACTTGGACGAGGACAAGGACAAGGGCTTCTCCAACGGCGGACGCGGCGCTGGCTCCATCCCCAAGCCCATGCGGCTCGACCTGCAGACCTTCTGGCGTAAGAAGTGCTGGGTGCCTGACTGCTACCCGCTCATCAAGCTGGGGACCTGGGACGAGTGCAGCTACTACGGAGATGAGGACTCATGGGCCGATTTCCACCACCACTACCATAGGTAGGATGGGGGAGACGGATGGGGAGTGGATGTCCTGCCCTGGGCCCCCCTCCTCCTTCTCCTCCTCCTCCTCCTCCTCCTCCTTTTTTCTCTCCTACCAGGTGGTGGCAAATTGGCCCATCAAGGGCGACGACCGATTGGCTGCCTACTGGCACGACCTCGTGCACGGCGACGATGTACCTGAGATGACGTTTGCCGAGGCCGTAAAGGAGTACTTTGGAGGCGATGACCCGTCGGAGAGGTTGCCAGATGACTACTGGGTGCCCAGCTCGAAGATCAAGGACACCATGTTTGCGGACATGATGCGCGACCTCCGGAGGGGCGACGACTCAGTGAGGACGGGGCGCCGTTGTTGATGCTTGCCTTATTAGTGCACGCCAGCAATTAATCGCTGCGCCCGAGCTGCTGCCAGGGGGGCTATTTTTTTCAGCGGGCCGTGCTGTCGGCAGCTCCGCGATCGCGGGCTCCTGCGCGGTGCGCAACGCCCCCCCTTGCCAAGCTTGGCGGCGAATGCCAGACTGTCCTGCCATGATGGCAGGGCAGATGATCTACGCTGGGCGCGACCCACTGCTGTTCTGCCCGCCACCTACGCTGGCAAAACAAGGGAATCGGGCAACAAGACCCGTGGCCCGTGGGTCTCTGCTTCCCCCCCTCTGCTTTCTCTGAGCGCTCTCGCTCCTCAGACACTCAATGCACTCCTCGCACCTCGCGCGCTCTTCGGGCCACGCAATGTAATTCATAATTCAGAATTCCAGTTATGGCTCACAGTAGCCCGGGAATGCCACGACATCGTGGCAGGTAGGTCGTTCGCATCGTGCGGTATGTCGCTTGTTTAAGCCCCACATGACGGGCCGTCGGCAAACTGGACGTCGTCTTTCGATCGTCATTATCATCATCGTCGTCATCGTCATCGTCGTCGCCGCCATCTTCGTCATCGTCATCGCCATCATCGCTGTTTCGCCATCGCCCATCGATCGTCGATCCTCGTTGCCATCGTCGCCTGGTCCGTGGGCTTATTGACGCTTTGCGTATCTTGGGGCCGTCGAGGAGTCTCTGGTGGCCGTCTGGGGCCCCATCATGGCTCAAACGAGGAGTAAGGGGAGGAGGGCGAGGAGGAGGAGGGGGAGGATGATGATGGGGAGGAGGAGGAGGAGGAGGAGAAGGAAAAGGAGGAGGATGGGGAGGGGGAGGGGGAAGGGAAGGGGGGCGACGACGACGACGACGTCAAGAGCCGACCCAAGGAGCCCCTCCTTGGCCTCCTCTTGGCGCCCTCTTGGGGGCCTCTCGGGCCCTCCTTGGGGTCTCTTGGGTGCTTCTCGGGGCCCATGGGCGGCCCTTGGAGCCGTCTTGGGGACGTCTTGGGGCCTGTTGGAGGTATGTCGGAGGCTATCTTGAGCCATCTTGAGCTATCTCGAGCCATCTTGGATGCTTTGGGGTCGCTGAGGCCCTCTGAATGTTGTTTTGGGTCATCTTGGGCGCTCTACCTGGTCGCGGCGCGCCCCTCGACCCGCGGGAGGGGCGCGCCCCTCCCCCGATCAGGGGTGGGAGCGCTCCTCACACCCAACGCCCCCTGGGGGGCTTTTGGGATTTCGTCGGGCGCGGCCTGGCCGGTGATCGTTCTGCTGCTCCTCCTGCTCCACCTCCTCTTCCTGCTTCTCCTGCTGCTTCTCCTGCTCGCTCCTCTTCCTGCTTCTCCTGCGGCTCCTGCTCCTCATCATCTTCCCCCTTCTCGTCCCTCCCCATCCCCCCCCTCCCCATCCCTCTCATCCCCCTCCCTACCCCGTCCCCGCTGCCCTCCCCCCCCGGCGCCTCCGCGACCAGCAGGCGCCAGCGGCTCCGCCGCGCGGCTGGCGGCTGGCGCAGGCGGCGCCGCCGCGCCGCGCGTGCCCGCGCGCCCGGCTGCTGGGGGGGGGGATGGGGGGGTGCCGGATGAGGGGAATGAAGTCAAGAGGAAGAAGTAGAGGAGGTGGAGACGATGGTGGAGGGGATGAGAGCTCCGCCTCCTCCGCCTCCGTCCCCTGCCCTCTCCGCCTCCTCCTCCTCCTCCTCCTCCTCCTCCTCCTCCTCCTCCCCCTCGCGGAGCGGGTCGCTGGCAGGTCGTCGGCGAGCCGCAGCAAGGCCCGTCGCGGGGCGGGTCGCGGCGGCGAAGTTGCCGCACTGAGCTGGGGTGTAATTATTCAACCCAGGTCTGGCCCACGACTGGCCTTCCATCGGTCGCAAGACCCTGGATTCCTTACCCGAGATTTCCCTATCCCAGGCTTCCACCGTCGTAGCAGCGCCAACAGCGACAGCAGAAATAATCCGCGCCGCGGTGCGTCCGACCGACGCCGTGGCTCTCCGATGCCTGGGTCCATGGGCTCTCGTCGATCACATCCTTGGGGCCATGTGTTTCGCCGCTGGTCCTTCTCTAATGTCACGGGGCCCGAAGGCGGCCCGGGGGGGCAAGATCGCGACGGGGCACGCCCTGGAGCTCGGATTGTCCTTTGTCCTTGGACCCCTCCTGGACAACCATCTTGGCCAGTTTTTGGAGCTGCGTGCGGCCGTGGCCATTTGGCTTCGCAGGGCGCGTGCCATTCCGACTGCCGAACATATTGATTCTGGTGTTCTGGTAGGTCATCCGCAATGCCCCTTGCTAAGAAGAAGGCCAGGGTCGGTGGCGCCCAGGATGCGTTAGGTGAGCCAGACATGGAGCTTGACGAGCCGCCGCAATCGAAGGCCAAGGCTAAGGGGAAGGCGCCGGCGAAGACCAAGGCTAACAGCCAGGGCCCCCGCATTGTCGGTCTCTTTTCGACAACCTCTTTGCCGGGCTTCGCACATCCAAATGCAGAGTTCCATCGGCGGATCGAGCTGGCCATGGACAAGATCAAGGGCTACTTCGGCCAGAACATCGAGAAGGCGATGCCGCTGGCTGGCGACGTTGGGTGCCAGGAGCCGATCAACTATGACCTCGTTGAGGAGAGGCTCAACGAGGAAGTTTGGGCAGGCCAGGTTGGTTGGGGAACCCGCCCACTTGCGCTTCTCCTAAAACAGGCAGCGAGTAGTTTTTTCCCCTATCTCGGTCAATGGGTAGTTCTTGGCGGCTGGCGCCGCTGAGACGTCCAGCATGACGTCCTCTAATCTCTCCTCGCCCCCGCCTGCTTGCGCGCCTTTCCCCTGTCAGGTGTTAGTCACGGGCGGCGTCAACGTGCTCTGGGCCAAGCCGAGTGAGTCCCTGACGCCGACCGTTGCCATCGACGCCCATGCCGTCGAGAATTTCACGCAGAACTTTTGGCCCCCCGGGCTGGTGCGCCCCTTGGCGGAGCCAATCGACTTCTTGGCGGGCCCCGGCGGCGTTGTCGGGGGCAAGGTGACCCGCCTGGGCCCGGAGGAGCCGCAGCAGGCGTTGGTCCTCAAGGTCGCGGAGCGCATCGAGGCTGGAGCCGACGAGGAAGAGATGAAACGGTGGAAGGCTTGTTTGCTCAGCGCGACAGGGCGAGTCGCGCGGGCAGAGACTTGGGGCGATCAGTGCTTCTGGGTGACGAACGCCCGCCGCAGGTTCAGGGGCGCGGCAGCGGCGATCGCGCACTTGGCGTCGCAGATCGTTGCCGACATTTGGTTGTTCAAGACCCGGGAAGAGGCGATCCTTAGCAAGGCCCTCAGCCACAAGGACCCCGTCCTCATCCTGCTCTCTCTCCTCCTCCTCCTCCTCCCGCCCTTCCCCCCTCCCCCTCCTCCTTCTCCTTCCCCCCCCCTTCCCCTTCTCCTCTTCTTCCCCCCTCCTCTTTTGTCGACTGCGGTGTCATTGATGATTGTTTGGCTTCCTCGAGCTAGTTCAAGTTCAAGTTCCTTCCTTTGCCTTCTCCCCCTCCTCCTTCTCTTTGCCCACAGAGCGCTCTTGCGGTGGATGGATCGGGTTCAAATTTGGGGCACTCTTGGAGCAGCCTAGAAAATTGTTGGGGCTCTTTTGGCGCCGTCTTGGGCCGCCTCGGCACGTCCTTGGAGCCTCCCGGGCAGTTTGAGGGCGGTCTTGTGGGCGTCTTGGGCCGTCTTGGAGCGTCGGGGCAACGAACTGGAATCCAGTTCGCCGCCCTGTGTTACGTGTTTAAGGGCCCGAAACGACGAACTGGATTCCTGTTCGCCGTTCCCTGCGACCTCGCATCGTGGGGGCGCCTCTTGGATGCTTTTCGGGGCTTGTTCGAAGCCTCTTGGGCGATCTTGGGGCCATCGTCGGAGTCTCTGGGCCATCTTGGGCCGTCTTGCCTGCTACCTCTTGGGCTGTCTTGGATACTCTGGGCTCCGAGAAATGTGGGTAGACGCGGAGTGAAGGTTGAGCCCTAGCGGCTACGCACATGGCCTGGGAGCACGCCCACTTCGTGCCCTCCAAACATACATATAGGTATGTATACATGTACATACGTACACATAATCACATTTAAACATACACATACCTGCAACATTCACGTACATGGTCATGCACATATACATGCGCGTGTGCATGGTCAGGTATACGCGCACAAAATGCTATTAATAGCGTGTGTATGTATGTACACAAGGACGGGCATGGTCACATGGATGCATCTACCTGCGCACGCGTGTGCAACTACTTGTACATAGATGTGCATGTAAGTCTGTCTGTGCTGTCTGCATGTAATTGTCATCGCTCGGCGTCTGGTCGCCATCGATTCCGGCCGTCTGTGGAAGCAGGGAGGGGGTGATATCGCCGGCCCGTGACAGGAAATTGCTGACATCTACGCGAAGCGTATGCCTGATGCTGAGAAGGATTCAGAGTCCCGGGCTTCAGAAAGTACAATCAAATATGCCCTCAAGGTGTACGAGGTTCTTTTCAGCAGTGCGGAGATCCGTGACATCATTGCCACGATGGGCAGAAAGTACCCAGGAACAGAACCAACGTACAATGATTGGCTATATCTACATGCAAAAGCAAGACATATGACCCCACCGAATTTAACCACACTGCAAACGCAACGCAGCAACACAGGAGGTCGGTAACCACAACACATACATGTAAACATATTTGCCAGACGCTGGCTGCTACTCCCGCTCCCCCTTCGGCATGTCCAAATCGCACCCGGGAGATGACGGCAGCGCGCCTCTCACGGCCACCCCCAAACCACATTTCATTGCTGTCCTCCCTAGGGGGTTAGGAGAGATTGGGCTTCAAATCGTGCATCATGGTGACAGGTACCTTTCCGAGAGCCCCTTCAATTCGATGTCCAAGCTCGTGGTGATTGCCTACAAGTGCAAGAACCAGCAAACTAATACGTGGTTCTTCCAGCTCGTGGTGGAGGGCTTGGCTAGTGGAGGACTGGAGACAGGTCTGTGGGTCGGCTCGCTGATTATGCCAATCCTATTCTCTCTGTCTCTGTCTCTGTCTCTGTCTCTGTCTCTGTCTCTCTCTCTCTCTCTCTCTCTCTCTCTCTCTCTCTCTCTCTCTCTCTCTCTCTCTCTCTCTCTCTCTCTCTCTCTCTCTCTCTCTCTCTCTCTCTCTCTCTCTCTCTTAGTCGTTCTCCCTCCTCCTGCATTGTCCCCATCCCCCCTCCTCCGGCCTCCTCCCCCCGTCTCCTGCCTGCTGCCTCCTCTACTGCCCCCCCCCCCCTCCTGCCTCCTCCTACGCCAGCTGGCCTCGCGCCTCCTCCCACGTAGGTGATTTGAGCATGAACAAGCTGAGGGGCCAGAGTGGGAGGGCGGGCTTGATCGACGTCATCTTGATGAAACTTGCCACGCGGGACTATTTCACGTCCCAGTTTCTTGACACGAGGAACATATCGGGTGTGCGTAATAGGGAAGGGTAGCCCGAGGTGGGGAGCGAATCCAGCTTGAGGCTGACGTGTGCCTTTTCGGTGGGGCATCCAGGGCGGCGTTCCTCTGGCCCCACCTCGGGCAACCCTCTCCCTTTACGTACCCCCGAACATCCACGCCGACCACAAGGCCAAGATCCGCGAATTATTTGAGAACCCCATCGTGTATAGGGAAACATACAAAGACGCAGACTCGACCTTCGTAAGCACGTGGCCTCTCTCTGCGCGGCGGACCCTGGATATGATTGAGATGACCTGCTTCACTTTCGACCCGCACGACACGAGTTCGATTAAGAACGGCATCAAGTCCGGCAAAACCGCGGTTGAGATTTTGTCTGAATACCAGCCTTGGAAGGCAAACATGGAGGATATCGATCCTCCTCCTGCTCCTCATCTTTCTCCTCCTCCTTCCTCCTGCTCCTCCTGATTCTGACGCCCCCCCTTGCAGCCCCTCCCCCTCTTCCTCGTCTTTCTCCTATAGCCCTATAGCCCAGAGCCCCAGATGCCTATAGTCCTAGAGCCCTATAGCCCCATAGCCCCGACAAAAGTTTAATTGTGTTTTCCTTCGGTGGCATTGCCCTCTCCTCCTCCTCCCCCCCCCCCTCCTCCTCCTCTTTCTCTTGCTCCCCCCTCCCTCCTCCCTCCCCCTTCTCTTCCTCCTCCTCCTCCCCCCTCCCTCCCTCCTTTCTGAGGCGCCGCCCGTCTCCTGCTCCTCCTCCTCGATGCAAGACTTCCCCCTCCTCATCCTCCTGCTCCTTCTGATCCCCCCTTCTCTTGTCCCTCCGACTCTTCCTCATTGTTTGTCATTTTTTGTTAGGCAAGCAAATGTGACCCCCTGCCCAGGAAATCGACACCGCGCTGTCCGAGGAGAACTCGGTGCCGCAGGCATCCCTGGCAGACCCACCTGCTGGCGCACCAGGGGCCGGCGCGCCACCACCTGCTGGCCCCGCTGCTGCCGGTGGCCCCGCTTCGTCGGCAGCGCCGGCTCCAGATATCATCGAGCTCGAGGCCGACTGGGCCGATTACGCGGAGCGCCACATCAAGAAGTTCTGCGAGTTGATCGTGGAGAATGGCAAGAACCAGACGGAGCTGACGAATGCCATCAAGGGCATCGGCCTCGGCGCCGTGAAGGGCGGGGGCGCGGGCAACGTCATCATCACGTTCGACGCGAATCTGTTCGGCGAGAGCCAGACGCACCCCCACATCCGCAAGCCTCCGTTGCAGAAGCCGATCATCCAGAAGATGTGGAAATCTGTCTTGACTGCGCGGACCGCTCCGGACCAGGTAGGCATCCTGCCCAAAGGCGACGTCCTGATGCTCTTTGATGGGGGCAGGACTAACGACAACACGTTCCTGAACAACTGGGGCATGGGGAAAGACCGCAAAACTGCAGACAGAACACGTACAGCCAAGGACGGGAAGACCATCATGCGAGAAATCATCTTGACTTTCGACGAGAAGAGCGTGAAGGCGCGCAAGCATCGCCAGAAGACGAGGCACTGCGTCCTTCGGTGCTCCCAGCGCGTGTTCATGTTCTACAGCAGTTTCACGACGATCCAGCCTCGTGAGCACAAGCACTTCCCGGATGCCACCAACATGTCGAACTTCGTCGGCCCTTGTAGCTTGTTGCCGTGGTCCGGTCTCCCGAAGCTCACGATTGGTGAAAAAAAGCAGTTCTGGGGCGCAAGGAGGCGCGCCGTGGGCGGCAGGACGGAGGGCATGGGCGGCGACTCGGACGAACAGAGCGACGACGAGGAGCAAGAAGTCGACGACGACGGAGAACAAGAAGCCGATGAGCCGCCTGAGGAGGAGAACCCCAGCCCAGAACTTCGGAACGCCAGGGACAGCAGGATCCAGCCGATCACCTACCACAGCCTGCCGAGCGTGGTGACGGACTCCCTGCGCCACGCTTTCTGGTGCATCAGCACGATCGACATGACCCCAGGTGTCGGTGAGCAGTGCTGCGATTGCGTCACGAACAACATTGGCTACCTCGGCATCTGCCAGACGGAGTTCCAGAAGAAGCACATCATGCAGCAGCTCCTCAAGCACATGTACGAGAAGATGGCCGACCCTCAGAGCAAGGTTTACGCGCCGGCGTACGCCGCGGAGGTGAACAACAGGCGGAAGGCAAAGCAGGATAAGGAAGATGAGGTAGCGGATCACTGATGAGGAAGATGAGGAAGATGAGGGCAGGATGAGGAAGATGATGGAAGATGAGGTAGAGGATCACTGATGAGGAAGATGAGGAAGATGAGGGCAGGATGGGGAAGATGAAGGATGAGGAAGATGAAGGAAGATGAGGTAGAGGATCACCGATGAGGAATATGAGGAAGATAAGGGCAGGATGGGGAAGATGAAGGATGAGAACGAAGATGAGGTAGAGGATCACTGATGAGGTAGATGAGGAAGATGAGGGCAGGATGATGAGGAAGATGAAGGATGAGGAAGATGAGGAAGATGGGGATAGAGGTAAAGCATACTCCCTACTGCTGCTCCTCCTCCTGCTGCTGCTCCTCCTCCTTCCTCTCCCCCGGCCTCCTTCCCCTCCTCCTCCTCCTCCTCCTCCTCCCTCCTCCTCCTCCTCCTCCTTCTCCTTCTCCTCCTCCTCCTCCTCCTCCTCCTCCTCCCTCCTTCTCCTTCTCCTCATCCTCATCCCCCCCGCCCCCCTGCGTGAGAGCCCCCCCTGGCTCGGCCTGCCAGGCCACGGGCGCCGGCGCAGGCGCCAGCGCGGCGGCGGGGCCCGGCAGCAGCGGCGGGGCTGCTCCTGCGGCGGGCGCGA